AGGGAGGGGTGCCCAGCAGTGCTGCTCAGGGACATGGGCTTGGGAAGGGGTGCGCAGGACTGGCACAAGCAGGGAGCCGCGCAGTGCAATCTGTACGGGGCAGCACAGTGCCCAGCCGGGCAAGGCGAGCGTGCCGGGTGACAAGTGTTCTCTCCCCTCGTCTGCTGCCCGTGCTGCCCAGTTCCTGCAGTTCCGCATGAAGATCATGAACAAGCAGCTGGACCGCTTCGGGAACCGCGTGGAGTTCACCGGCAACCCCACCAAGTACGACGTGTCCTTCACCCTCAACAACGTGCAGCTGGAGGACGAGGGCACCTACAACTGCTACGTGCTCAACCCCCCGGACCGGCAGCGGGGCCACGCCAGCATCAGCCTCAAGGTGCTCACGGAAGGTCAGTGCAGAGCGGTGCCGGCCCCTTGCGCCTCGGCCGGGCACCGCCCGCCCTCACGCGGTTCCCTCTCTCCCCAGAGCCCCCCAAGCGTGACTCAACGGTGGCCGTCATCGTGGGCGCCTCCGTCGGCGGCTTCCTGGCCGTGGTGATCCTGGTGCTCATGGTGGTGAAGTGCGTGCGCCGGAAAAAGCAGCAGAGGCTCAACACTGACGACCAGAAGACGGAGGAGGAGGGCAAGACGGACGGTGAAGGCAACCCAGATGAGGGCACCAAGTAACACCCCGCACTCCGGGCTGCCCTCCCCTCTCCACCCCTGTACAGCCTGTCTCCCTCCATGTGCTTCCCAGAGCAAGGATTGCGGTCCCCCCGAGCATCCCTCCCTGCAGCGAAGTAGAGCCCAGCCCGGCGCGGGGAGCAGGTACCCGAGCTGGCCGCCGGCGCCCGCCGCACGGACGCGGGCGAGCCTGGCCCCGCGCTCCCGCTCCTGCACCCTGAGGTGCTGCACCGAGGCGCCGCCCACACTGCCGGGGCTGCGCCAGCCCGCTCGGTGCGGGTGGTGGCCGCTAATGGCCATTAGCCCCGGCGTTGCTCCTGAGCTCGGCCGCGTTTTGGAGCCGCTAATGGCTCCCAGCGCCTAATGGATGTGCCCGTGTGTGGCTCGGGCTATATTTGGGCCTGAGCATCACAGCCAAAGATGCTGGGTGGACTTTTTGTGTTTTTTTTCACTTTGGGGTGGGTAATTCTAATGGCAAGCGCTTTGCTGGCGTGCCAGGGCACGCTGGTGGGGAGCAGGAGGGGAGGAAGGGCGGCTGGGAGGACAAGGAGCTCGGGCGCCTGCTGGGAAGGACCGGGCTCGCTGCAGCTGTGGAGGCAGGGCAGCTCCCTCATCCCTAAGCACCCCCTGATGCCCAAACTGCCTCTCCTGATTGCCCGGGAGACCCCCGTCTGAAGCGTAACTGCCACGGCATCGCACTGCCAGCCAGCCCGGCCGCAGTGCTGGGTGCCAGCCGCCGCCCCCGGTCTTGCTGCCCCGCGTGCTCCGCAGCCCCTGCCCCGCTCGGCCTCCCGACCGTGCTGCCTGCCCCACAGGCCCTCCCGGCTCCCCCTGTGCCACTGTCCGCGTCTGCCCGCACGTGTCCAGCCGCTAGCCCCAGCAGCGCCGCTGGAGACCCCGCGCACGGCCAGTGCCTGCCAGCGCCGCCGGCGTGCGGCTGGCTGCGAGCGGCCCTCCGCGCACCTCGGCGCGACCACTTTGTGGCTGAGGTCGCTGACTCTTCAACCCGTGGCCAGTGCTGCGTTTGCCTTTCATTTCTGCCATGCACTTTCTCGGATAGCAGCGTGCCGCCGCAGCTGCACAGCCCTAGCTGGGCACGCAGGGAGGATCTCTGCGCGGAGCGTGCGGCGGGAGGTGCGCTGCTGCTCCTGCCTGTGCGCTGTCGCTTGGGGCAGGCGCCTCCGGTAAGTTTTGTTTGCCAAACACCGCTAGTATTGCTTGCACCAAAGCCTGAGTGTAGGATGTTTTTATTGCTCTTTGTACAGTTAAAAACAAACAAAGCAAAGAACAACAAAACATACGTTTTGCCCGTGGTACTTCTGTGTGGAGGAGATGGGAAGGGGTCCCTGGCCCCACTCTGCCTTTGCAGCTGTGCGGGGGACGTCCTGGGAGCCCATGGCTTTGTGCAGTGGGAGAGTGGGAATGTGCTCCCGCATTCTGCCCTGGCCCACGCTTCTGATTGGCACCTGTCTGGGGCAGCGCCAGGGCGCGCGTGCCAGAGCTGCGCTAATGAGCTTGTCCGTCCATCCTGCAGCGAAGGATCCGGGGCAGCCCGGGCAGCTGCCTCCGTGTTGTTCCCCCTGCCTGCCTGCAGGCTGGTGGGAGCCTGTGCATCCCAATGGAGCGCACAGACAGCTCGGGCACCGCATTGCCCCATGCACAAGAGGCAGTGGAGGCTGCCAGGGCACTGCGGCATGTAGGGTACAGCCCGGCCATCCTGTTTGTGAGGACAGGAGAGCCGGGGGAGGATGAAGACGACAGGAAGGCACAGGGTGTGGGATGTTGAGCCCCGGGGGCATGGAGGGCGCAGCAGCAGCAGCAGCAGCAGCCTAGGGCTGTGCTGTGGCAGGAGGAAACTTTCTGCTGGGACGCAGCAGCGGGCTCGGGCTCTCTCGTGGATGCCCGGCGGGCGCTGCCTCTGAGCGCTGCTCCTCCTCTCCCAGTCACTGCCCGGCACACGAAGAGGTCCGGGAGCCGGGCTCTGCCGGCGGTGCCGCAGCCCTGCCAGGGAGCGGGGCACGGCGCTGCGCAGGCAGAGGGGCAGGCGGGCAGGCAAGCATCGCGCCGGGGACAGCGGGGCGGGGAGGGCGCTGGGGAACGGCAAGAGCAGGCAAGCACTCACCCGCAGTCCGTGCGCCCGGCGCCTCGCCCGGCTCCTGGCGCAGCCGGGCAGTCCTGCGGAGCGACACAGCACTCGGAGCGCCTCCTGCTCCCCGCCGGCTCCAGGCCGCCTTCTCTTTTAAAGGTCACAGCCAGAGGACCTTGCAGTAAATCTAAGGTGCTGATGGGAGGCTCTGCTCCAGTGTCACCACCTCCTCCCTCTGCCTTCCCCGCTTCCGCACCAGCTGGCTCCGGGCACTTTGGGCGGGCACCAGGGGCTGCACAGGCGGGATGGGTGCAGCCAGGGGGGCCGCTCCGCAGGGTCCCGCGCCGGCTGCGCTGTGCCGGGAGGTTGCAGCCTGGTGTGTGCCAGCGGGCTCCCCTCAGCCCTGCCCTGCTCCGCATCCACGTGGAGGCAAGCGGAGCCCACCGCGGGAGCAGCGGGTTAACCCTCTGTGCTCCAACACGCTGGCTGCTCAGCGGCCGTGCAGCGCGGGAGCTGCTGCGCACCGGCCCCTGGCTGCAAGGCTGCCAACGCACCGGGACTGCGGCTGTTTGCAGGACAGCCGCTGCCGGGTCTGTGCCCACACAGGGAGCAGGGAGCAAACCCAGCGATGCTGGGAAGGGACTTGGGGACTTGTGGTAGCTCCTGCCCCCGCTCCCGAGAACAGCTCTGGTGGCAGCGGGCCAGCTCGATGGAGCCCTTGAGCCTCCAAGCCCTTCGCTTGCTTCCTGCCGCGCCAGGAGGTGACACTGGCCCAGCAAAGGGTGCTTGAAACTAGACACAGTGGTGTTGTGCTGGCCTCAGCAAAAGGAGCCCGGCGGAGCCGCAGCATCCCGGCCCTGTTCCCGTGCCGGGGCCGTCCTGCCAAGAGCGCAGGGCAGCGGCTGCAGGATGCCCTTGGGAGCCGGCCAGGCCGCAGAGAGTTTCGCCTTGCCCAGCCCACGGCAGCAGCAGATGTCTCCCGAGAGCAGCCTGCCGAGCAGCAGTGAGGGACAGAGTGTGACAGCTCTATTAGGCTGCCGTGCCCGGGACCTGCGGCTCCAGGACCCAGGCGGCCCGGTGCTCCGTGGCATGCAGCGCCAGGCTGGCAGCCTGCAGAGAGTGGCCTCTCTCCTGCCAGCCTCTCTGCTGGCGGGACTTTGAGCTGTGGCTGGGGCACGGGTGGGGGGCGCAGGTGGCACCTCGGGCACCACGAAGGCCCCGTCCCGCCTCGAGGCAGCACAAGGGCCGCCACGGCCCCGCAGTTGCCCTGGATCTGCACGGCCCCGCTCCCCGCGCCTGGGCCTCGCCGCGGAGGCAGCGGGCAGGGCTCGCAGAGCACAGCCCGGCCGCGCCGCGCCGGTCCGAGCCGCGCCGCGCCGCGCGCCACCAACGCCTCTGCAGTTCCTGGCAGGCCCTCCCAGCTGGGTGGTGCTGCTGACCCCAGCCTCCCCCCATGGCTTCCTGGGGCTCTGCCGCTGTGATTCACCACGGCGCTTCCCAGAAACTCCTCCTGATCTTTCCCATCTTTTTGGAAGCAAACTTCTTAGCCCCCCCACGTGCCCCAGGAACGAGGCCAGCACATACCGTGGCCCCATTCCACGCCAGATGTGGATGTCACCACTGCAGCTCACTAGCACTGCAGGTCCCTGCACTCCTGCTTGCTGCATCCTGGAGGCTCCAGTCTCAGCCTTAGCTGCCAGTGCGGCTTCCACACGCCAGACCGTGCCCCACTGAGCCCCACTGCAGGCTCTTCATCCCAAGCAACCCTTGTGCAAGGGCGACAGACCACCCACACCCCTGCGTGCCTCTCTCCTCGGCTGCTGCGCGGAGGTGTCACCTCCAACCCAATTAGCAGGGCTCCCCCTCCTGCCTCTGTCAGTCTCCTGCCTGCTCGCAGGGCCTGCGGCTGCCCTAGCCGTAGCCATCACGCAGCCTGTCCTGCCCGCGAGCCGCCTTTGCTGCATCAGCAGTGTGCTCCGTGCCGCTCGTGCTGCGGCCGCTGCCAGCGCTGCCTGGCTCCTGCTGCCTGTACTTTTCCCGTTTCGCCTGCCAGCTCTGCAGCTCCAGCTCCTCAGCTTGCCAGCAATGCTGGCATGTTCTCTGAGTCTCTTGGGACAGCCCAGGGCTCGCAATGCCTGCAGTTTTTCCTCTTCCCCACTCTGTCACGCCCCTGGTCACTGCCCGGGTGGTGCAGAGGGAGCTGAAGAGGGGGCCAGGGCAGGGCTGGTGCAGGGCCAGCTAAAGCACGATGATGCCCAGGCTACGAGGGGGCGAGGCGCAGGGATCGGCATCCCTGGCGCGGAGCAGTGTGCAGGAATGCAGCCTGGCAAGGGCAGCCCAGCGGCGCCGGCAGGGTCCTGGGTGGGCGGCATCCCTGCATGCGTGTGAGCGCTGCGGCGCTGCGGGGCGCCCCACGGCCGCCGCGGGAGGGGAAGGAGGCTGTGCGGGAGCCCCCGTCCCGGGGGCAGCTGCCGGGGGTCGGGGCGG